TCGTCCGACCAACTACACCTACACTATATATATATATATATATATAAATGAATAAATACATATATATATATATATATATGAAAAAATATATATATTGTATGTCAAGAGATATTTATACTAGTATTTTAATAGTTTAGTATATAATGCAATATATATATATATATATATTGACAGAGAAAGAGAGAAAGAGAGCGATTGTATTATATAAACGATAGATTTAAAAAGAAAAAGATACCGAGGCGTTGTAAATACATACACACATAGAAATATTATTCTATGATATACATATATATATATATTATATATATATATTATATACATACATTGAATATGACTAGTGATACATTAAATAGAAACTATTGTATACACAAGCATATTGATATAGACGAACAACATGTGAATAGGTGAACTAATCTAAACTGAAATTTACCTATAGATATGAGTATAAGCTAAGTTAATAAAAGTTTATTATATTATATATATATATATATAATATATATATATATAAAATACGAGCGACATACATACATATATATATATAATAAAATATACATTCACAATAAAGATGCATAGGCATTGAGACTACGAGGGACATTTAATCATAATTAGATCAATAAACAATTAGGAACAAAGGAGGAAAAAAAGAGAAAAAATGAAAAAAATTGCGAAATTAATCACATCTTAGCGCGACTATGACAAAGGAAACAAAAAGAGAAATATGGGAAAAACGTGTTGACGAAATTTTTAGATAGAACTATATATATATATATATATGTACTATATATATTATATATTACACATATATAATATATATATTTAATTGTTTGTACATTGGGCACGAATGCTCTATTATTTTACTGTGATCCGTGTTTTGTACGATTTTCAAAGTCACACCGCACATACAGGATCGACGTTAGCCCATGCTCTTTCCTCCGTTCCGGCCCGCGTTTCCTTTCAGAATCGATCGTTTCCGCTTCCGTGGAACGTTACCAGAAACAGAAAGAAAGAAAGAAAGAAAGAAACGTTGATTCGTAACACGCAAGCTCTACCGTACCATTTTCCACGATATTTTTACAACACACCGACGATCGTAAGCGATCGTCGTCGTTCCAACTTTTTACGTGTCGTACGACGTATTTTCGAAACTCTCAAGTTCCTCGAATTCGCGAATTTCCACGATCCGAACGTTGGGAGACGACAGACAGAAAAGCCGAAACGTCGTTCCCTCTTCGTCGTTCTCGAGACGATCGATCGGCCGCGTGGAAAACGCGTGGAACGGAAGCGCGACCGGCCTCTGCCCGAGGAAATCCTTCTATTTAGCCGCGAGATAAGATCTGAGCCGCGCGATAGGGAAACTAACGTCGACCCTGGGAACACGCGTCTCGACCAAAAAAAAAAAAGAAAAAGAAAAAAAAAGGTGAAAAAAAAAAGGAGAAAAGAAAGGAAGAAGATCGCATAACCTACTTTCACGGGAATTCAGAGCTTTTATACTACGCGAATTCCATTACATCGTGTTCATTTTTACACACCGCGGAATTATCGCCGCGACGGTGGCCATCACGGCAGTTTTCCACGCCGCGTCTCTGAAATAAAGGGATTTAAAAAAAAGAAAAAGGAAGGGTTAAAGGTGAGAATAGTCGCGAACGGGTTCAACCCCGTTTAAAGGGAGAGGGGGAAAAAGTTGAGAATTCCTTTCGATTAAAGTATTCGAAGAAAGAATCTCGGTTTCCTTTTAACAAACTTGGAAATTATCGCGACCGTTTCGATTATTCTTTTTCTTGTTGAAAGGGAGATCTGAAAATTCTTCTTTAAATCTAAAAAGATGGCGAGAATCGATCGAATCGTGGCTGCTTCTTCTGTTAACAAGAATCAAAGATTACGATTCGCGCGATCCCTCTCCATTCCTAATAATTCTTTCCACGGAAGGACAAAAGATCTAGGTATTCTTCGTTCGAAAGGATAAAATTCTCACGATCATCCCAATTATCTGGATATTCCTGAAACCGATAATTTCGTCGTGACGATAATTCCACGCAGAGACGAGTCGAACGACACGCGCGAGTCGAAGGTGCTGCTTCTCCGGTGCGTGGTAGAAGAAAAGAGAGAAAGAGAGAGAGAGAGAGAGAGAGAGAGAGAGAGAAAGGTGATTGAATGAATTACGAATAAAAAAAAACGTCGAAAGAGGGGGGAAAAAAAGGAAGGAAGGAAGGAAGAAAGCGACGCGACATTGAGAGACGACGTTCGGACGCTCGATTAGCAATATCGCCATTAATCGTATTTTGCGCTTTCACGCTTTTGGCTGATTATTAAAAAAAGAAAAAAAAAAGGAAAAGCTACTACTAGTGAAAATTGTATAGAAGGGAAATAGAAGATGTGGATCGATGGTTCGATCGAAATTTAAAAAACCCTCGCCGCGAGTATGTTTGCAAGAATTCGTGCGGATTGAGGGTGATCGATCCTTGCGCGAGGACCAATTCGAGGCTCGAGACGCTTGATCCAATTTTCGCGCTCGAAGAAGACAAAGGATGTAAATTGGATCTAATTGGATATCGAGGATATGGTAGACGCCATATGTACGTGCAAATTTTCGTGAATGCAGGGGAATGGAGAATTTATATTATTAGTAAATAATTTAGATTCAAGTGATTATTCGTTGATTCGTTTTTAGTATTGACGAGGAAGAAGGAGAATTGGATAATTTAATTTGCGAGGGATACATAATTTTTAACTTTCTCTTTTTTTCAAATGTAAAATGTAAGGGGATGAATGCTTTGTTGCCACTTGGTGCTATAAGTATTAGTAAAAGAGAAGAAAAAAAAATTTTAACGAAGAATTAGAATTGAGAAGAGGGAATCTAAAAAAAAAAAAAAGAAAAAAAGAAATACCAAGAGAATTTTTTCACCGAATATTTCTCGTGAAAAAATGTCGACGAACGTAATAGAATTTTAGAAGAAAATTCCTAATCGTAACTCTTACGCGAAATTACTATAGAAAATTGTTAAATTTAGAAGAAGAAGAAGAAGAAGAAGAAGAAGAAGAAGAAGAAAAAAAAAGTGAAATATTCGTAGGAATAATACGCTTCTGCTAAAGAGAGCAATAATCGTTTTTTATGTTGTGATAAATCAATCATAGGATCATACGCGGACATTCGTGGACATTCGTACTCATCGCCGGATAGAATGTTAGTTTAATAAAATTACAGGGACGAAACATATCGTAATAATATAACACTCGTAGGTTTTATCGTTCAAAAAAAAAAAAAAAAAGTAAACTGCTAAAGTGCGTACAACTCCCTTCGATTGTTTTTTAAATGTTTATACAGAGCTTTGTAGAATAACGAGTTTTTTGTCATAGAACTGTAACATATCAAGTTTTTGGGACAAAATGATCCGAAGTTGCTGCTTTCCAGTGTAGCAGATTTTAAAAATGAATGAACGAGGAGGTTGCATGATCACAAAATATAATTGTTGGATCGAAAGGCGACGAGAAGCGTAACCATTATCCTTTCACTTAATTTTTATATTTTATTATGCGCGATTAAATATAACGCATATGTTTATCGTGTTGTTTTCAATGTTTAGCGAATGAAAAAGATGCGATAAGAATATATGATATACGAAAAGCAAAGCACTAAGAGAAATATAAGTAGAAAGCGTAAGTGGAAATGGATCGTTCATTGTCAGACATGCTTGCTGCAACCAGTGTATCGAAAATGTATAATCTCACTGCATCTTTATATATTTTAGCGATTACTTTAACAATGATTACTTGAACAAATATTGTTCGCTTTAATAATTACATACAATTAGAATATTTCTTATCTTTTTATTAACAAAAATTTTCGAAAGATATTTAAATTTTAATCGAACGAAGAGAACAAATTCTACAATGTTCGTTAAACAAAATTTATTTTTTTACGACAAGTATTTCATCCAAGAATCTGTTTTTTTTTTTTATATATATATAATTTTTGTCTACGATACGAAATCCCAACAGAAAATAATAACGAAGAAAAAAATAAAAACCGCAACAAAATTTTACAAAATTATCGAAATACTTTAAAACGTTATTAAAATATCGAGCAGAAAAAGAAAATTGCACAAATTATAAAGTTCGATAGAGATAAATACTTTCAAATGAATGTAGATGGGGGGAAGAAGGAAAAGAAATATATACGGTAGAAAGGAAAAGAGAGAAAGACGAAGACAACATAGATGATTCTTACTTGGTTGCGATGGACAACATCGGGGAATCGAAAGCCGATATAGGTTCGAAGACACGCGTGGAGTTGCGGAACAGAGTTCAGGGGTGTATTCACCTGGCGCCGCCCCAAGTCACGCCTACCTGCGCAATTCCAAACGTAGGCAGGCACGCCTACGCGTGCACCGACACACCGTACGCTCCCACCTACGCGACCTACATACAGTCCAAGCCAAAATTCCCTGGACGTTGGCTCGTTTCTGGCACCATTCTCTCCTAACCAACCTTCGACCGCCTCCAATTCGCTCGAAAATTTATCGAATTCGAGTCGTGGTAACATTTCATTCCCTTCCACAATATTAATCTTATAATTTTAACCTCGATCGACTCGATTATATATAAAATAGGCGAATTTTTTCTTTTTCCAATCTGATTTATAAAATTTCACTCGTGAAATCGCTTCCCCAAAACTCATCCCCATCTCCCGATACAATCCATTCCCTGTTTACTAATCACCCTCGCTGAAACTCAGCCCTAAAAAACCCATCTTTCCAAATCAATCGAATTCCACACCTATGGAACGCGTTAGAAATTAATTAAAAAAAATATATATACGATTAATCCACGATCAAATCCTACCTTTGCAAAACTCCATCGCCAAAAATCCATCCTGCGCGTGAAAATTTCACGCGAGCCCCGTCGAAGAGAAGCGCAAGAGCGAAAAATTAATCCCGAATCGATAACGTTCTCCTTCCATCCTTCGCGTTTAACCTCGATCGTTGCGTAACGAACGGACACGAGAGCCAACGAGAAAGCAGCCACCAACCCCCCTACGAATTTTGCCCTCGACTGTATCGACAGGTGAACGCTTACCGCTGGTTGCCGCGACCCAAGGGACACGTACGACCGTACGAAGGTTGCTCTCGGTGTTGGTCGCTCATTGTGGGTGTGTATGTGTGTGTGTATGCGGGT